TTGTTGACTATACGCCTCCATATTCCCAAATTGATTATTAGAATATTGTTGTGAAGGTCAAGAGAAAAGAAACAAAGAGGCAAATTCAATGGCTTGTGTTTTAGAGGGTTAATTTTTATTTAGAAAGTTTTTGTAAGCATGGTTGGCTAGGGTTAGGCTTAGGTGTTTAAGCTTTTGTCTAAGCAAACAGTTTCCCCCTCTTTTTGTATTTGTGCCTTTTGGTTTTATCCCCATTGCTTTTTATGGCTAGCTGGCCTCCCTAGATCGCCCTTTGGATTTTCGAACTAGGATATTGTGCTTGGCCCTAACTTTTGTCTAGGTTCCTATTTTTTGTAATTTTTGGAGAATCCTAGCGGACCTTATTTTGTAACCCTAACTTTTGCCTAGGCTACCCTTTATTGTTGTTCGGGTATCCTACCGGGTCGACCCTATCTTTTGCGTAGCCCCCTTAGTGGGTTTCCTACCGGGTAATTTGCCCTTTTCTTTGGCCTTTGGCTTCTATGGGCTTTTTTTTTGTATTTGTTTTTGTTCACAACATTGGCGAAGCATGACTTTCTTTTATGGTGAGGTAAAGTCTTATTTTTATGTGCTTCTAATCAACTAGCTTGACGATAATAGCAATGGTAAATGTTGATTATTTGGATGCGCTTTTTATTCTTCTTCTTTTTTGTTTACTTAGACAGGGTTATTTATGTGGTCTAGTCGGAAATAGAAAGAAGAGAAGCAGATTGTAAGAATCATTCTTTATTAATTAACAAGGGAATATGTGCCCTAAAATGCCCGGGGTTGGGCTAGCCCCGGGGATAATCTCTAACAATCATGGGGTTTACATCCCTTAAACAAAGAAAAATATTTCCTAATAACTAGAGTGGCTCTTGATGCTTGCACCCCTCCACTTCGGAAAATCTACTTGAGTGTGCGGAGGGGGACTTCCCTTTCCTTTTCCCGCTCGTCCCTTAGTGGGGTCATATCCTAGGCCATGCTTGAAATGATTGTCTTTGAATTCGGGGGTTCCCTCATGCCTTGGGAATCTGCCCCCAATCCTTGTTTGTTGCATAGCATAACCAAACAACAGAAAAAATCACAAAAAAACATTTTTTACAATAAACACCCTTATCTCGGATAGTCTGCCTTTTAGCTTGCCTGGTTTCAGGTTCTTTGTAAGCTAAGTAGCCACGTAGTCCAACGAAGAGATAAGGGACGCTAAATAATCCTTTCGCATAAAGCCATTTTTTTTATCTCGGACAGTCTGCCTTTTAGCTAGCTTGGTTTCAGGTTCTTTGTAAGCTAAGTAGTCACTCAGTCCGACAGAAGAGATAAAAGGCTATAAAATAAAATAAAAATCCAATAAAAAAATTCTCGATTCCAAAACAATAAATGGGACCTTGTTCAAAAATATTACACTCATAAATCATATAGGTAGTTTATTTTTCCAAAAAAAACGCAAATACCATACATCATGTAAAAGCAAAACATGATAAATAGAAAAATAAACACTCACATTCATTCAATAAGCATCATTTTCATAAAACATGCATTTTCGTTTTAGCAAATGGAGGGGACTAGTAGACAATTGAAGAAGGTGGACATTCCCCGATACCATACTAAGAAATTGGAACGGCTTTGCGCGGTAATGCCACCAGAGGTCCGCTCCGACTTTGAAAAATCCTATGGACGGATTCTAGACTTGCTGAAGATCTGTGTCGATCAAGTTTTCGTCAGGGTATTAGTTCACTTCTGGAACTCCAGTCTGCGCTGCTTCGAATTCCCGCAGTTTGATATGGTGCCCACCTTGGAGGAGTATGAAATCATGTTTAAATGGCCCAAATCAGCCGGGGTCCATATCCGCCACGGGGCATATACTCCTGCAACACAAGTAGCTGGCATCATCCAACTACCTTTCCGGCAGACTACCCTGATAGGAAAAGGGAACATCTAGGGTTGGAAAGTCTCAATGTTAGAAGACCATCTGTCCGACTTGGCTGAAAGGATAGAATGGGTCGCTTTTAACAAAACCCTGGCCTTAATCATATTTGGAACGATCTTGTTTCCCTTCCACCTCGACACAGTGGATCAAGCCGTCATGGACGCCTTCTTCGCCTGGGACATGAACTCGAAGAGTCCCTTGCCTGCAATTCTTGCCGACACCTTGCTCTCGGTGGAATTCTACCGCCAGAAGCAAGGAAAAACACTTCGTTGCTGCTCTTCACTGCTCTTTGTGTGGGGCATTACAGATTTTTACGCCTCTAGTCACATGGGGATGTTCCCCGACCCTTTGAGGAGCTTCTCCAAAATCCCTCTCCAACGACGCTTAACTTCAGAATGGAAGGACAAGTTGGAACAATGGGATGCCAACAATTTATCCTGGGTCTGCCCTTGGTTCCGACCTGGTCCAGTCCTCATCAGATGTGGAGACTATCCGAACGTACCCTTGATAGGACTCAGGGGTTGCATAGCCTACTCACCTAGAGTAGCTATGAGACAACTCATGAGGACTCAAACTACAATTTCTCGATGGGAACTCGGAGGACTGTGTTTCTTCGGAGATCCATGCACAATCGCCAATTCACTAGCCGTGAGAAAAGCATGGGAGAAACCAGTCTTTATGGGAGATAGAGAGCTAGGAAAAGCTCGAGTAGCTGTCTCTAGTGACTATGAGGTGTGGAGAAAAAGAAGAGGGATGTCTCAACCATCCACCTCACTCATTACAAGCGCCAATAGTGAAGAGCTGCAAGCTCAAGTCGATGCCTTGACCCAGAGGATAGAAAATCATGGGAGCCCAGATGAAGGCCCTTGAAGAAAGAGACCAAGAATCTATCCTCACCATAGATGGTCTGCAAAGGCAATGCAAGAAAAAGGATCATGGAATAGAGCACCTCAAGGACCAGTGTGCTGACTCTAATGAGCAAGCTATCCGAGCATCCAAAACCGCTAGAACCAGCTCGGATAGTCAACTCCAAGAAATAACTGCCAAATCAGCACGCCTCGAGGCCGAATCAGCAAAACAGGCTTAGACGATCAAGGAGCTGTTGCAAGAACTCACCAAGACTCGGTCAGAAATACGCCAAGAGCGGGAGGCCAATCGGAGACTCAACAAAAGTCTCGCTGAGCTACGTTGCAAAGACAGAGACGGGCTAGCTCAGTACGGCCAAGCACTACAAGAGGCGAAGATCAAAGAGGCTCAAAAGTACAGCGAAGATATGTGCCAGGCGGTCCAGAAGCAAAGCGAAGTACTTGCTCGTCACGTCCGGGAAGCCGAAAGGGAATTACATAGAGATCAAGACCCGCCTGTGTGTTTCTTTAGGCTTTTCCGTTTCTGTCAAAAGTTGCTTCGTAGTATGGAGTAGGGGAATGTACACCTTCCAATGGATAAATGAAACTTTTCTTTATTCAACAATTGTCTACTTGCATGCATATCATCCATCTGCATATTTAATTTCTCCTCCTTCACTCTTAATAAATAAGATAATAAAAAGGAAGGATTAATTGACACGTCTTCCAAATCAGAAGAATGGAGAGAAAGCCACTCCTAATCGAGCTTTCCCCAACGGTTGACTCGCCACAAGAGGAAAATAAGCCTCGACCGTTGGTCCTCAGAAATAAGGAAGAGGGGCAAGGACACCAGTGCGACTATTTATGCCACGTCCTTTCCCCTATGAGTCAAATAAAGCTGTACCGTGGAGATACGGAGAATCTTCACTAATAAAAGAAGATATCACGAATATAGCCGGCATTGGGGGCATGATTAGAAGTGGAAGAGTTTACTCCCCCAAGGACTCACAAGAAGATGTCCCCAAAAATAAAGGAAAAAATAAAAAGACCGAAGAAAAAGAAAATAAGGAATCCAAGGAGGAGACAGAGGAATTACTCCAGTTTATAAGGCAAAGTGAGTATTCCATTATAGACCAGCTCAATCACACACCTGCAAAGATAACATTATTATCTCTAATGATGAGCTCGGAACCGCACAGAAACGCCCTGTTGAAGGTCTTGAGCGAAGTGCATGTACCTCACTCCATATCCCAAGAAAAGGTTGAGAGGATCGTCGGTCACATCATGGCAAACGATCACCTCACCTTCACAGAGGAAGAACTTCCCCTCGAGGGGTCAAACCACAACAAGCCCTTGCACATTTCAATCAAGTGCAAGGAGTACCTCATCGCCAAAGCTCTTGTGGATAACGGGTCATCCTTGAATGTGATGCCCAAGTGCACACTCGACTAGTTAACTATCCAAGGAACCCGTCTGCGCCCAAGCAGCACCATCGTTCGAGCCCAAGTGGTGGGAGAAGTTAATTTGCCAATTCAGGTTGGACCCACTATCTTCAACGTCGATTTCCACGTAATGGATATTACTCCAGCATACAGTTGTCTCCTCGGCAGGCCTTGGATTCATGACGCTAAGGCAATACCTTCAACGCTCCACCAAAAAGTCAAGTTCATAATGGATGGCAAATTGATCACGGTCAAAGCAGAAGATGATATCCTGATCAGTGGACCATCCACCCAACCTTATGTGGATGCGGCTGAAGAGGCCCTTGAAACATCTTTTCAAGCACTCGAAATTGCCAGCATAGAGCGACTTCCCAAAAACATAAAGGTAGCCCGCATGATGATGAAACATGGTTACCATCCTGGCCAAGGACTGGGGGCAGATTCCCAAGGCATAAGGGAACCCCCAGAATTCAAAGACAATCCTTTCAAGTATGGCCTAGGATATGACCCTACTAAGGGCCGAATAGAAAGAGGAAAAGGGAAGTCCCCCCTCCGCGCACTCAAGCAAATTTTTCGAAGCGGAGGGGTGCAAGCGTTAAGAGCTATGTTAGAAATGTAGGCTGAGATCAAGAGGGGGGGTGAATTGATCTTTGAAAGATTTTTACAAATTAGAGATTATAACCAAGGTTTATACTGGTTCACCCAATCCCAGGGCTACGTCCAGCCAAATTCCAGCTGGGTTCCACTTGATTGAACGTTTTACAGATTACAACTTTAATCTCACACTCAATCTACCACAAGAACCACAATTTCAGTTCCTGCACCTAAACCTTCACCAAGAACCAAATTCCAGTTCTTGATCAACCCTGCAGCCAAATTCCAGCTACAGAAACCAGTGCCCACATTTCTAGGCACCCACAATACAATAAAGAAAGTAAAGAAACAAGTAGAAGAAACTTAGAACGCTCAAACCAGATTTATGCAGCTCTACAATATGTGTTTCTTCTCCAAAAGAATGCAATTTTGCCTCAAGAAAGAACTCCTATGAACTTCACAAAAACTAGCGCGATTCTCTCTTGAAAGTAGCACTTATGCTTGCTTGATTGATTGCTAAAGATGTGTTTAAAAAAGTTCAAGCAACTCTATTTATATAGAAGATTTTTAAAACTGCTGGTTTATTTAATCTGTTAAAATAATCTTTTAATCTGTTAAAAGTCTTGTTTTAATCTGTTAAAACTTCTTTTAATCTGTTAAAAAGTTCTTGATTATTTTCCAGATTTGTTTTAACTGATACAACACCGTTTATATCAATTAAAACTCTTTGTAAAAAATCTTCCAAACTGTTTTAATCGATTGTTTCGTCTTTCAATCGATTAAAATACTGCAAAACATTCTTGTAAACTTTTCTAAGTGATTTTAACTGATAACAATTTGTTTTAATAGATTAAAACACTTTGAAAAAGATTTACTTAGTTATTTTAATCGATTGAAACGCATTTTAATCGATTATAATTCTGCCAAAAGATTTCATAAAACTTTCTAAGTTATTTTAACTGATAGCAAGCTTGTTTTAATCGATTAAAACATTTTGGAAAAACCTCTTAGTTGTTTTAATCGATTATTTCGCATTTGTATCGATTAAAATACTGACAGAACAACTTTCAAACCACTTCAAGTTATTTCAATCGATTATTTCGAGTTTGTATCGATTAAAATTTTTCCAGAACACTTTCCAAAATATTCTAAGTCATTTTAATCGATTATATCAATTCTATATCAGTTAAAATACTGGCAGAAGGTTTTCAAAAATCCTTCTAATGAAAACAATCGATTATTTCGAAAACATATCAGTTAAAAACTTGTTGCAAAAAGTGTTAAGAACATTTTAATTGATAAAGCTTGTAAACTATTGGTTAAAATAGTTAATTAAAAACCTTTTAACAAAATACTTTGTTTTTAACCGTTTAAACGCTTTTTAGAGGCATTTACAAAATCTTTTAAATGAAGAAACCTCATGCAGTAGAGAGATAAAAATGATTATACCTAAGCAGAGATGCAGACTCACTAATTCCACTACTCTTTTATCTAAGTGACCTTTGACTGCCACAAAGTAGCCTTTGACTTCATTTTTGACTTCATCAAATCAACAAGATCTTTGCCAAAGTAATTCAATAAGATTTTCATGACTTTCAGTCTCCCCCTATTTGATGAAGACAAACACCTCTTTGAATAATAACTCTGCAGAAGAAGTCACTTGAATATATAGATTAGTGAGTATTCAAAAATTAATCATTTTCCTATTTCTCCCCTATATTGCTACTCCCCCTAAATAAAGAAAATCAAAGCATATTTCTACTCCCCCTAAATAAAGAAAATCAAAGCAATTATTTCTCCCCCTTTTGACTTCATCAAAAAATAGGGAATAGAGGAACATAAAATGTACCAGTTTTGAAAAAAAAGCAGTAAAAGATTTTGAACAAGATTCCTTACTCATGTAAAGACTAATCAAAGTTGATTCAAACTTATCTTCATTAACACGTTTGGAATGGATACAATTAACACGTGTAAAGATAAGGAAATCATGCTTTAGTAGCATGTTATAAGAATAGCCATTAACTAAAGCCTTTAATTTTTCTTTCTAGAGTAAAAATCGATTAAAAACAGGACGAAATCGATTAATATGATCTAGTTACTAGTTTTAATCGATTAAAATAACGTTTTAATCGATTAAAACAGTGAAAATTTTTGAAAAATTGAAACATAAGTTGATTTAATCGATTAAATCGATATTTAATCGATTAAAACAGTAGGAAAAATGCTGTAGACCCCAAATCTTGCCCGACCTAATAATAAAGACCAGAAGACCTTCTATTCGAAGATGGATGAAGCCTAAGAAGCCACTAGGAGAGACTATTAGGCCCCATACTAGGATAGGAGGGATTTTCGGCATGTAAATAAGGATTTTCTCCTTTTAGGGTCGAGACCGTCGTCTCGGATTCGGGACCATCGTCTCGCCTTGCAAAAGTGGCGAGACCACCGTCTCGCCATTTCTGCAAGGCGAGACAGCCGTCTCGAATGGTGAAACGGCTGTCTCGACCTTGTCAGACGAGACGGCCGTCTCGACCCGACAGGTGCGAATCCCTATAAATAGTCGCGCCATTCCCCTCATTTCACATAGTTCTTCCATTCTCTCTCTAGTCACCTCCTCAAATTCTCTTTCTAGAACCCCTCTGAAGTATTTCCGGAGTTTCTGAGAGTTTCTAAGAGGTTTTAGAGCGTTTTTGAGAGTTTTTCGGCGCTGTAGAGAGTGAAGGGCTGCCAAAAAGCACCAAAATTATCAAGAAATTAATATAAAGCTTTCCTCGGAGGTTTTTACATTCTCCCTCTCTCCTTTACCGCTTTATTTTTAATTGTGCAATAGATATTAGGGCCATGTAGTCGTAATTTTAAATTCCGCAAATAAAGGGTAAAAGCATATTTTCACCGGTTTATTTATTCAAAGTAGCTGACCTATCATAGGGAACCCGAAAGGGGCGTCGTAAGGGAACTAACACTTCCCTTACGCGTAACTAACTCCCTTACCCAACTCTGGTTCTAATGACCAAAGTTGGTTTTTCGAAAAACCAATGCCTTTTTACTCCTTTTCCGATGTTTCCGATAAAAACATCGGTGGCGACTCCAGAAGAACCCTTCAAAATTAGTTCTTGGGTTAGCCCGGTTATCGGACAATCCAAGAGCGCCCTTTTCGAAAACCTCGCCCCTAGGTTCAGCCCGGTTATCGGACAACCTAAAGGCATTGTAACCACACCAATAAAAACGCGAAAATTGGAAAAGTCGAAACCATCGCGTCGCTCTGACCGCCTCGTTTTGATGGCGGCGACAGTTTGCTTAGACGAAAAGCTTAAACACCCAGGCCTAACCCTAGCCAACCATTCTTACAAAACCTTTTTCTAAATAAAAATTGACCATCTAAAACACAAGCCTTTGAATTTTCCCTCTTACTTCTTTTCTCTTGACCCTCACAACAATATTCTAATAATTAATTTGGGAATATGGAGGAGTATAGTCAATAAGAGGATTGAAACCCCTAAAAGTAAAGAAAAAGGGACACTACATGGCAAAGTGTGCTCTACAAAAAAAGAAAGAAAAAGAAAAAGCAAAGAAAAAAGCAGATTATTCTTCGGTCACGAGAAGTCCGGAATGGTACAGCCAAATACGAGAACGCAGATCAGAGGGCACTCGACGCTACAGGACACGTCAGTTAAATCCTTATGAAAAACTAATTGAAATAGGCATTATAGGACATCAAACATAAAAACATTGCATGCATAAAATGTTTTTGAACCAGGTCCTATTTTCTAACAAAAAAAAATCCCTTAAAATCGAGACGGTCGTCTCACATTTCCAGACCGCCGTCTCGATCTCCAGAAAATTGGGACCGTCGTCTCGACCAACGAGACCGCCGTCTCGACTTGGCCAAAAACGAGACCGCCGTCTCGCTTAAGGCCAAAGTCGAGACCGCCGTCTCGAGGTTCCAGATGGCCCTCTCGACTTGCACGAAATCAAGACTGCTATCTCGACTTCCCAAACGGCGGTCCCGAATCCAAAATTTTTTTTCTATAAATAGAGGGGGGGTCTAGGGGGTCTCCACACCTCCTCCTGCACCCCAACTCTCTATTGTCTCACTCTCGAGCAACATACAGTCAAGATGCATCGTGGAAGCCAATCCAGGAAGAGAAGAGGCTCTGCTGGCCCTAGTAGTTCCTCAGCACCTTGCCCACTCAGCTCTCGCCAATGCACCAGGCCCGTCTTGAGCATATCCGGGGGTACACATGGCACCCCATGCTCAAATTGGATTTCGGCATTCTCGCCGAATTCGGGTGGGAGGACGACGTCCGGGCCCACATTGATAGTATAGGGTGGGGCTTCCTCCTTCAGCCTCCACCTACCCATGTGTACCCCCAGGCGGTGCTGGAGTTTCTTGCCTCCATCTCCTACGCCGAGACTCCCGCCATGGTACCAAGATTGTCACCAACAAAAATGGTGACATATTTCATGGGTGGGATGTACCGGACCACCACCCTGGACGAATTCAATGTGAACATTGGGTTCATCCAGCCTAGGGACATGCTGACCCGACACTACTAGGAGGTCATCTGCGCGCGCCCCACCAACCTCACTGCCGGCGAGATGTGGGAAGAGCTCACCAGGGCGCCCACTTTGCCCACGCTGATAAAGGGCTCTACACTTCCTCCAGCCTTCTGCATTTGCCACAAGCTGCTGGCAGGGACCATCCACGGGCGGAAAGAGAGCCAGGGAAAGGTAACCCTTCTAGACCTCTTCGTCCTTTACTGCATGAGCCAGAGGCACCGGTGCAACCTTGGCTATTTATTCCTGAAGGCCCTCAAGGACTTCGGGAGCCGGCTTGTGGGAGCCGTCCTCATGGCTCCCATCATTACCCCACTGGCAGAAAAATGGGGGTGCAGTGGCAGGGAGGAACTGGCCTCCAGCCTCCGACCTGAGTCCATCAACGGGGTGGTCCTGGTCAGCATGGGGATGCTACTGCGCCACGAGACTCAGCTGATCCTCCACCCCTCGCTGGACATCACTTTGGATCTCCACAATCTCGTGGCAATGCACGATCTCCCAACACCTTCTGAGTTCCAACAACAACAACAACAACAACAACAACAACGATAGCGAGTACACGAATGATTTTGCTGGCATGAACCATAACATGAATGATCAACGCCAACAATTCAATCGGATGTCCGTGAGGCAAGAGCGAGATGTCCCTAAGGCAAGAGGCCTTCGACACAAGATTGGAGACAATATACCAATACCAAGAGGGAATGAGGCAGGACTGGGCGGCCTTCCAGCAAGAGTACCGCGACGAAGCCCGAGACCAGGCAGAGTTCCGGAGACATATGTACTGGCAGTTCCCCTCTTATGGATCGTCTCTAGACGAGAGCCCACCTTCTTAGGGATAATGCTTATAGAATAAGTTGTTGTAATAAATTTTTCGTATAAATAAAAAATTTTCATTTCATGCACCTTTTTACTATCCCCTTCAAAAAGTCAGCGTGTCGCCGCCGTCCGTTCCGACGTCTAGGGACATCTCGAACGTTTATGCGAGCGGTCGCGAAAAGATGGTTTAGACTCGCGTTTTTATGTTAAAATATGTTCATTGCTTCCGAGGTGCTCAACAAGCTGAACTATCCTCTAATAAAAACAAGGTTTTCGAAAAGGGGTTCTTATGGAGTCGCCACCAATGTTTTGACCATAAACATTGGAAAAGGATAAAAAGGCGTTGATTTTAATAAAAACCAAACTTGGCCATTATAACGAGAGTTAGGTAAGGGAGTTAGTTACGTGTGGGGAAGGTGTTAGCACCCCACACGCCCCTTTCGGGTTCCCTATGACGGATTCATTCATTAAGTGAAGATTACGAGAAATTACGCCATTACCCTATTTTATTTATACAGTATTTAAAAATGGCTATCTACATGATTTTATTTTACATTGCATATAGAAAGCAATAAATAAAACAATAAAAGAGAAGAGAATTTGAAAAGAACCTCCGTAACAAGCTTTGTATTGCAAATCTTTAACTGTGAGGATGCGTTTTGGCAATCCCTCGCTCTACAAAGACTCTCCTCCCCGAATACAAGATCGACTCGACTAAATTTTAAAGAAGAATCGAATGCTGGAATACAATTCCTTAACCGATTGTTACCTTTTTAACGCAATCGTAGAGTTCATTCGAAGTAGGGAGAGAAGACAAGTGTTTGGAGTTATCTGGAGTGTGGAAAAGTGGCAAATGAGCCTCCTATTTATAGTTTTCGCAGCCTGGCAGCTTGGGACGGCCGTCTGGAGCTTGGAAATCAGGGATGGCCATCTGGGGAAGTTGGGATGGCCGTTTGGGATTTGGGACGGCCGTCTCGAGCCTCAAAACAAGTTGGGACACCCGTTTGGAACTTGGGACGGCCGTCTGGACTTCTGGGACGGCCGTCCCAACTTCTGGATTAACACAAGTCAATCACCTTGACCAAAATCAAAGACCAAGCAGAAGTCGAACAAAGAAAACAAGATTGCCCGACCAACCAGCAAAAGTCGGATGACCACTACCAAAAGATCAAAATCAAAAGAATCCTCAGCAATCAACAAGCTGGATGACCACCAACAAAAACCCCGGCACAGACCGGACGACCATTCCCAGAAAAAGACAAACAAAGACAAGAAAGCACATCTCAACACTCGGCGCATGAGCCACCTGATCAGTAAGCCGCCTCCACCACCAGTCCTACGCAGTGGACTATACCAGCTTGATAGGGGGTTCATACCTATCAACCTGCGCATGCAGTGCGCTTGATCTGCGCTCGAGTGGGATCAGTAAGTCGCAACCACCAGCCTGATGGGGGGTTCATACTCATCCAGTTCGAAGCATAGCGGACTGCAACTACCAGCCCGATGGGGGGTTTATACCCATCAACCGAAGGATCGGCTACCGTCAGAAGGAGTATCCTGAGGTTTTACCACGTGTCACCCAAAGGGATCGACTACTGTCAGAAGGAGTATCCTGGAGGTGCACAACACAAATTTTCCCCAAAAGATCAAACTGCCGCAAGACAGAACATCCGAAGGGTAACCGGGCAAGGGGGTCAACTCCTTTACCTTCCAGTCGATCTTCTTGGCACAACAGGCCAACACCCGACTGGTCAGGTAAAGGGGGGGCAGCTGTAGACCCCAAATCTTGCCCGACCTCATAATAAAGACCAGAAGACCTTCTATTCGAAGATGGACGAAGCCTAAGAAGCCACTAGGAGAGACTATTAGGCCCCATACTAGGATAGGAGGGATTTTCTGCATGTAAATAAGGATTTTCGCCTTTTAGGGTCGAGACCGTCGTCTCTCTTCTCGAGACCGCCGTCTCGCCACTCCTACAAATCGAGACCGCCGTCTCGTTTGGCGAGACCGCCGTCTCGCCACTTGCGAATGACGAGACGGCCCTCCTGGTTGGCGAGACGACAATCTCAAATGGCGAGACGGTCGTCTCGACCTTGTCATACAAGACGACCGTCTCGACCTGACAGGCGTGAATCCCTATAAATAGTTGCGCCATTCCCCTCATTTCACACAGTTCTTCCATTCTCTCTCTTGTCACTTCATAAAATTCTCTTCCTAGAACGCCTCCGAAGCATTTCCGAAGTTTTCTGAGAGTTTATAAGAGTTTTTATAGCATTTTTGAGAGGTTTCCGGCACTGTAAGGAGTGAAGGGCTGCCAAAAATACCCTAATTTTCAAGAGATTAATATAAAGCTTGCCTCAGAGGTTTCTACACTCTCTCTCTCTCTCTTTACTGCTTTATCTTTAAATTACGCAGTAGATATTAGGGCCATGTAATCGTAACTTTAAATTCTGTAAATAAAGGGTAAAAGCGTATTTTCACCGATTTACTTATTTAAATAGCTGGCCTATCATAGGGAACCCGAAAGGGGCGTCGTAAGGGAACTAACACTTCCCTTACACGTAACTAACTCCCTTACCCAACTCTGGTTCTAATGACCAAAGTTGGTTTTTCAAAAACCAACACATTTTCACTCCTTTTCTGATGTTTCCGGTAAAAAACATCGGTGGCAACTCCAGAAGAACCCTTCAAAATTAGTTCTCGGGTTAGCTCGGTTATCGGACAATCCAAGAACGCCTTTTCAAAAAACCTCGCCTCTAGGTTCAGCCCGGTTATCGGACAATCTAAAGGCATTGTAACCACACCAATAAAAATGCGAAAATTGGAAAGACGAAACCATCGCGTCGCTCCGACCGCCTCGTTTTGACGGTGGCGACACTATGCACCATTGGTCATCTTTAAGAGCTTCTTCAACACTTTTGGGTTGTATCTGTGAAACAAAAGCTACAGACATACAAAAATTGGTGATATTTCTAGTTCTTACCCCTTTTGAGATATCACCAATTATATTGTCCATTGAGAGTCCTCTTGGTGATTGCCATTCTTTTGTTAATTCAGTTGGTTGAGATGGCTCATTCTCATTCAAATACATTTCTTCTAGAGCCTCTCTTATGTACTCATCATCATCTGCAAGTTCTTTATTTGACTCAAGAGGATTTCCCTCAAGGTCTACAATTTCATCAAAGGTGACATGCACAGATTCTTCAACATTTAAAGTTCTTCTATTAAACACTTTATATTCTTTGCTAGTTAGTGAATAGCCTAAGAAAATGCCCTCATCGGGTTTTGAGTCAAATTTTCCTAAATTATCTTTTCCCTTATTTAAAACAAAGCATTTACATCCAAATATTTTCAAATGAGCAACATTAGGCTTTCTACCATTTAACAGTTCATAAGGAGTTGATTTTATAATTGGCCTAATAAGCATCCTATTCAATACATAACATGCAGTACTTACAGCATCAGCCCAAAAATATTTAGGAACATTTGATTCATTTAGCATTGTTCTAGCAAGTTCCTCTAGTGATCTAATTTTCCTTTCTACTACACCATTTTGTCGGGGAGTCCTACGTGCAGAAAAATTATGCAAAATTCCATTTTCTTCACAATAAATTTCAAACCATTCATTTTGAAACTCTCCACCATGGTCACTTCTTAACACCTTAATTCTTAAGTCTTTCTCATTTTGAATTTGCTTTACAAACTTCCTAAAGCCCTTAAAAGCTTCACTTTTTAATGTTAAGAAAAATGTCCAAGTATATCTAGAAAAATCATCAACAATCACAAGAGCATAATAATTTCCACCAAAACTTTTTATCCTAGAAGGGCCAAATAAATCTAAGTGTAATAGTTCTAAAGGTTTTGATGTGGAAATAACATTCTTAGATTTAAAGTATGATTTTACTTGTTTACCCTTTTGGCATGCATCACATAATCTATCTTTCTCAAATTTTAACTTAGGCAAACCAACAACTAAGTCCTTTGATATTAATTTGTTTAATTGATGCCTATTTATATGAACCGCTCTCTTATGCCATAACCATGAGTTCTCTTCCTTAGCAACTAAGCATGTTATACTAGTATCATGTATACAATCCAAATCAATCAAATAGATATTATTATGCCTATTGTCTTTCAATGCTATATTTTCGGAATCTATCAAATGTATGGTACAAAATTTACTTTCAAAGATTACCTTGAACCCTTTATCACAAAGTTGACTTATACTTAGGTGATTATGCTTTAGCCCTTCAACAAGAAGCACATCCTTTATCTCCAAAGTGTTTGCACCACCAATGTTTCTGATTCCAAGTATCTTTCCTTTGTTGTTGTCCCCATAGGTTACATATCATTGTTCTTTAGCTTTGAAACTTACAAATTTTGTTTTGTCTCCGGTCATTTGTTTTGAGCATCCACTATCAAGATACCACATAGACTTCTTGGATATTGTTATCTTCATTCTTCTTGTTTGGACATTCGGTTTTTACATGTCCTGTTTCACCACAACCATAACATTTGATATTTAAAGAAGTACTTTCTCTTACCTTTCCCTTACTTTTGAAGGGTTGCTTCCCTTTGGCTTTCATAAACTTGGTAAATTTCTTTATCATAAGACTCAATTGTTCTTCTTCTTCATTTTCTGAGTCTTCTTCTTCCTTCTTTTGTTCTTACTCTTGGAAATTTCAGTTTTGAAGGTTAGGTTCCTCTTTTGATGTTGACCTTCTTCATCATTTAGCTTTCCAAGTTCAAGTTCGTGCTCTCTCAACTTTCCAAAGAGCGCCGCCATAGACATTGTTGCAAGATTTTGTGACTCCGTGATGGCCGTCACTTTAGGTTGTCATTTCCTATCCAAAGTTTTAGAATTTTTACATTTAATTCATCAACATAAAAATGTTTACCTAACCTGGTGAGATTATTCACTATGTGCGTGAAACGCTTTTGAACGTCAAAGATTGTTTCTCCTTGTTGCATCTGGAACATCTCATATTCTTGGATCAATGAATTCTTCCGTGCTCTTTTTACATCGTTGGTACCTTCGTGGGTTACTCTTAATATTTCCCACATTTCTTGAGCACTTTTACAAACAGAGATCCTGTAAAACTCATCAAGGGTTAAAGTAGATGAAATAATATTTCTAGCCCTAACATCATATTGGGCTTTTCTATTTTCCTCAGCTGACCATCTAGAAAATGGTTTTAGTACCTCTTCTCCGTTTTTAGTAATTTTAGGAATAAAAGGTCCATTTAAAATTGCGTCCCAAACACCTGTATCAATAGACTCTAAAAATATTTGCATTCTAACTTTTCAAAACGGATAATTTTTCCCCGCAAAAAGTGGGGGTCTATTGATAGAAGCACCCTCGACAAACGTTTGATTTTATCCGGCCATTTTCGAAAATTGAATGACTATCAAAGCAAGCTTTGATACCACTTGTTAGAATCGCGCAGCGGAATGTTTACGTTTACGGACAAAAATCAAGAGGGAGGAGGTGAATTGGTTTCTTAACAAAAATTAGGGTTTTAAAATTTTCTCCAAATTTCACCGATTAAAATGCTGTGTAAAGTAAATAGAGCAAGGATAGAGTATTACACAGATGATTTATACTGGTTCGGATCAAAAGACCCTACGTCCAGTTGCTAATCACTCAAACAGAGGATTAATGTTGTCACTATAATCACAATTATACAATCAGATTACAAATGAAAAGATAAGGTAAAGAATACACCTCTCTTGAGTCACACAAGAGATTAACACCTCCTTTGAATCCCACAAAGGATGAAGAACAACTTTCCCTAGAGACGGCACAACACACAATCCACAAAGAAAACCCACTTAGTGATTCTTATTGCTTGTAGCCCACACTAGGTTTCAAAAGCCCCTTTTTCCTCCAACAAACAGTTCTCTGGCAGTCACAACTCTCAACTTTTGTTTGAAAAAGGTTGTTCTATTTGCAAAGAGTCTTAGAGAACCTTAAGTAGAAAGATTAGGATTTGGGAATTGGGGATTTTCGAAAACAGATGAATTGGGAATAGGGTTTTCAAAACTTGGTCCAATTTTGAAATTCGAAACACATATCTGACTGAAATAATCGATTATCTTGAGTGTTAATCGATTATTCCAGAGCCAAAATCACAGGGAACCTAAAACAGCTCAATTTAATCGATTAACTGGGCATTTAATCGATTAACAGCCCAATTAATCGATTAATAGGGGATTTAATCGATTATTCCAGAGAGTAGATGCTGAAAATGGTTTTTCTCTGTAATAATCGATTATCCTGCCATTTAATCGATTAATCCAGTATGTTTTTGATAAAAATGAGTTTTTAAAGCCTTTAAAGAGTGGACTATGTGCTGGCTATCTTGGACTCTAATATTACAGACTCAAAATCATAAAAATAGAGTTATTACATAACATTACAAGTCTTTAAATCTTTAAGTCCTTTATTCTTGAATCATCATCAAAATCTACAAGCTTCATATCCTTGTATGTTCAACATTCATATCCTTGTATGTTTCAACAAGAATTACAAAGCTCAAGTATGAACAACTCAAAGTCATAAATTAATTTAGAAACCTCCCTAAATACCCCACACTTGAAAGACACATTGTCCTCAATGTGAGTGAAATAAGTTTAGAAAGATAATACCTGAAAAAGCTTTAATCTGCATAATTAATCACCACATAACTTATTGTTACATAATTGGGTTAGCTAAAGAAATAATATGATTATCCACATGTGAAACCGGTTGACTTTCATGAAATATCTTAAGTCTATGACCATTAACTATAAATACATTATTTGTTTTTGGATAAAAAATCTCAACAACTCCATAGGGATATACTTTAGTAATAACATAAGGACCTATCCATCTGGATTTTAATTTACCTGCAATAATGTGTATTTGAGGTGAGTAGGAAGCTGTTTAAGTTCATTTGTACTTTGTGGTTGCTGCTCACTTTCTTCTTCACCTTCTCTTTATGTATTTTTTTTTCATTTTCTTCCTTTTTTTGTGAATTTTCAAGTGTAATACATGTAGAAAACAAATCTAATGGAGTATCTACATCATGGTTAGTTTAAAACTTTGCAAACTGGCCAATGTGGCCGAACACTGCATGTGAGTCTATGTTGCTCAACTGTACACAGTCCAAAGAGTCATCTACATTTATACAGTCCAAAGTTTTATTTACATCTGTACAATCTAAACTAGTCAAAGCATCTAAAACAAACAAAGAATGATCATATATTACAGAGTGACCCTCTATAGGAAACTTCAATGCAGCAAATATGTTGAAGGTCACTTTTTCTTCTCCAAATTCCATAGTCAACACACTAGCATATACATCAATATTTGTCTTTGCTGTCATAAAAAATGGCCTACCCAGAATAATGGTGGACTGGCTGGTCTTCCTCTCATCATCCATGTCAATTATGTAGAAGTTAGAAGGAAAAATCAAACTATTTACCTTAACAAGAACATCCTCAAGAAAACCAAGTGGTTGCACAATGGTTTTATTAGCAAGCTAGATCACCACACTGGTTTCTTTGAGTTCTCCTAACTGAAGCATCTTATACAAAGCTGTAGGCATGACATTTATACTTGCACCTAAATCAATTAAAGCATTTCCAAAAGTCAAATTTCCAATAGTGCAAGGGATAGGGAATGCACCAGGATCACCACACTTCTGAGGTACTGACAACTATGATAGTGTAGAAACAACCTCAATGTTAGCTCCTTTAAGTTTCCTCTTGTAAGTGCAAAGCCCTTTCAAAAATTTAGCATATTTAGGGACCTGTCTGACAGCTTCTAACAGGGGAAAATTAATCTCCACCTTTTTAAACATCTCCATCAGCTCTGGATCTACCTCCTTAGACTTTACAACACGAACTCTAGAGGGAAAAGGAGGGGGAATCACAGGTTTAGCACGAACTTGTTGTGGTGGTACATCTTCC